CATCTATTAGTTACTGATAGCATTTTTAAATAAACCAGAACTGAAAAACGCACTCATAAAGAATTTTAATCTTTGCAATCATAAAAATTTTACTTATATCCGGTTACATTTTTATGTGTTTCTATTTGAAAACAGAAAGGAATTTCTTTTGTAATCAGAACTGGTAATAAATGGCTCTATATTTTATCAGAATAAACGTAAATAAATCGACCGAATCAAGTCGTTGGGATGCTGGCTACGGAACGCAGATAAATGTCCTATCATTTCCTTTGTCAAATCATTGAAATCATTTTTTAATTATTTCCAGAAATAATTACTACTAAAAAATGCATTCATTCTAGCGGTTAGAACGCTGGCCTTGTAATCCTGGGGTCTCGGGTTCGATTCCCGGCGGTGCCCGAATTTATAACTTGTGTTGGGCAAGGCCGTGGTCTAGGCAACACGGAGTTTTCCTCCGTGGCATCCCAACAATTACTCCATTCACACACAGAAGAAGGCGATGGCAAACCACTTCTGGATCATCTGCCAAGAACGTATATGAACAGGTCCCAGTCCGAGAAAAGGATGGAAGGATCCTGTTCATATGGACCTGTCGTCACACAGAACACTGAATAATAATAATAACTAGTTGCATTGTTGTCGCGACGCGAAGTACTCTCTGTAAAATTTAATTATCACATTTAAATACCCCCCTCCCCCCCATTAAGGAATCTTTGTGTTCCAGTAATCATTTCAAAAGCCGTGTCTAACATTCGGAGAAAATTTTAATTGGATTGGTCCACTTCTAGGAAGCATCTTTTTTTTTTTTTTAAAAAAAACAAACAAAGTCTTGAAAATCTCGAATTAATGAGAGCATCCATTGGAAGTTTCTGCCTTACACACAATTCCGATTACTCGAAGTACAAATTAAAATGAAATGTGGCAACGCAGGTATTCAAGGCGTCCTACTGATTAATACCATGTGGTAAGTTAGAACTTAAATTTTGAGGAACTGAAGTCTATGTCTTCTAAAAATAACTTGTTTTTAAAGAGAACAGAATATGAATGAAAGAGATTAGATCCTCTAATTAAAGTGTAAAAATCCTTGAATATTAATAAAAATAATAACACGGGTACAAGGAACGTACCTTGAAACGTAAGCAGTTATTTAAAAAGTTGCTAATATTACTATTATTACTGTTACTGATATCGGTAATAATTGGTTGCGGTCTAAACAACCTAGGTTCGACATCCGACAACATTGGGGGCTATCTTCAGATCTATATATCTCCCTGATGATTGAGGCAGCTAGCACCTATGAAACGTCGGGAAAGTGCTACCAGGCTACATGCCCCATTATCTCAGAAGACTGTCGTATTAATTTTCGTAACCATGAGAAGATTTAATTAATGACGTTTAGAGAAATAATAATTTGTTTCTGGAGAATGCAGATTTATTGAATATTAAAGAGGGTGGTATATAATGTTATTGATGGGCTTTGAAGGGTTTAAGGGTGTGGCTAAGTAATGTTGAAATGAAATATTAATAACGAGCATGACTTAAAATTTAGACAACCTTAGAAAGAAACGATTACAAATTAGTAAGCGTTAACAACGTGAAGTTTAAAATGTCTGTTGTTCACCGTTAAGTAATATTCAATTGTTTTAGTCTAAGGAATTACATTTAACGTTTTTGAAGATGAGTCACGTCTTTTTGGATAACCCTGTGCCTACTTTTTGGAATACAAAGAATAGAAATTTGTCCCGCATTTCTCTATCCAAGGAGAACTTTTTTCATAAGGTAGTATATTTGCGTCATATTGTGAATTAGGTTAATATTTAGGTTAATAATAATAAGGTAGTATACTTGCGTCATATTTTAAATATTTTATATATTTTATTATCTTATTAAAATTGTGAATTTGACGGAAAATATTAAAATATGAGAACTTTTTTGTAAGATTTAATTTTCTCACGCGTATGAATACAGTTGTGTCCTGAAATCTAGACTTCAGACCGTTAATCAAATGCACCTTGCGAACTTCCGTCTAAGCAGAAGGCACTGCTAATTCGACGCACGGGGTGAATGTGACGCTACATGACGTAATTAAACCATGCACTTGATGAACGTTTGGCATTTCTAGGGACAAGGGGTTGGTTTGTCTGTCTGTGTGAGCAATACGCAGGCGTGTGTCAGTAAGTGAGTGAGAGCAGAGGACGAAGGACGCCAGGACCACGATTTAAGGTCAGATTGTTCCCCTCAAATAGGCCTACATCTCCGGCTGCATTTCTACTGACTTCAGATATTGAGCGGAACTGCCGGTTGAACGTAAGTTACACAGGAAAGACACTTGTATGTTTGCAAAGACCGACTATATTTGTTTTAACATTGATGTACGTGACATTTTAGTTAATTTAATTATAGTGTCCAGAATGAACGCAAATCTGAAATATGTCCCATTTATCTAATTACTCTTGTTATCGTATTTATCAACATTCTATATATTATTTGTTTCAATATGTCTCTATTATTGGTATTGTATTATAGGTTGCATACATTTGTATTGCCTTATTAAATGGAACCAATTCTGAAGCTACAAAACTATGAAATATTAAATTACAAATTAAAATTACGTATTAATTTGATTCATAACTTACGGAAGGCCCTCGGATACTTTAAAACTGAACACTTTTGACATTTCCCTTTTGAAATTAATTTTACGTAAACATTCTCATTGCATTTGTAACAAAATGTCTGCATCTAAAATTCTCCTAAACATTTACGCAGATTAATATCCATAAATATGTCCTATAAATGATCATAAAAACAATATTCTCTGATATCCCATGTGTGGAACATACATACAGATAAATAAGACATTTTTTTTGGGGGGGGGGTTACATAAATGAGAATTTGTAGCTAGTATTCCGATACAATGCATTCTGATTTAAGGACAAAAATTTAGAAATTAATTTGTAAACAGTTATCTTCATATTATATTTAATTTGATAAAACTTAGTCCGGGTCATATGCATGAATTATTTCGTATTTTTTTTAAATAGACGATGCCTTACAGTTTATATTGGATCATTATAATAATTTTCTAATTAGTGGTATGGGACAATTTCGCACTATCATCGGATCAACGAGAATGGTTTTAGGTTTATAACACCAATCATAACAATTTCCAATTAAAAATAAATATCTTCAAGTTATGGTAACTGCATTGCATGTAAAAAAAAACCCTATCGAATTGGAAGTTAAAAAGTATTACCGATTCGAAAGCGTGTGTATGAGATTTACCCGACTCGAGATAAATTTATGAAAAATTTAAGATTATTTTTTTGCGATGAAAACGTTAATTAATGTAGTACATTTCTGATAATCCTTCCTCACTTAATATGGAAAGCTACTTACAAAACCAAGACAGAGTTTTAAGAAAAAAAAACATTTTACTTAGCGACTTGTTTTGCTATTGATTTGAATAATGTATTCAATGAAATTACAAGAAACTTCAGTGAAATACATGGGTGGATATATTAATGTCTTTCTGACAGTCCTTTATCCTATTTTATCTTTGCTGACAAGTGAAAATGTCGCTGTCAATTTCACAGAAACGCTACAAGACTGTAATGGCGAAATACTTTCTCTCGTTGCACAAACACATTAATATACATTACTATTTAACTGAAAGAAATGATGGATTCAGAAGACAGCTGTTTCGTATTTAATAAATTTACGATCGTTCGTCTGAAACGACTTAATCAGACCCTAATTATTTCAATATGAACAACATCCTTGAGGTAAGTATATTTGCGTCATATTGTGAATTAGGTTAATATTTTAATATTTTCCATCAAATCACAATTTTTTAATAAGATAATAAAATATAAAATATTTAAAATATCATTTCACGTTCGCGGAACGTGAAATGATATTTTAAATATTTTATATTTTATTATCTTATTAAAA